GAGAGTGCCACACTTGCATAAACACACACACAATGCATTGATTGATCAGTTTAGGTCCTTTGTGTCCCAAAAAGGATGTGAGATAGGTTATCAAAACTATACACAATACAGCAGAGTAAAGACACGACTGAGAAGATGGAAATTAAAGTAGAAAAACAGAACAAGGTCAGGAGAAACCCCTGAACAAGACTGAATCTGAGCTTCCTCTGGCACAAACATTACTAATGGAGGCCCATCAGATAGAAAAGTCACAGGAGCTGTGCGAGCCAGGCACGTTGCACCAGGCACAGTCCATGTCCTGCGGTAGAGTGTTGGGGCTGGGCACCAGGCTCTGGCTCCTGGCTCTGGCTTCCTGGCGGTGCAGGCCCGGGAAGGCAGTGGCAGTGGCTCAGTGGTTGGGTTCCTGCCATCCATGCTGGAGACCCGGATTGAGTTCTGAGTTTCTGGCTCCAGCCTAGTCCAGCACTGGGTGTTGTGGGAATTTGGAGAGCAAACCAGCCACTGGGGACTCCTTTCTCTGCCTTTCAAATAAACAAAAATTTTCAAAAGCGTATGAGCACACCAGGCAAGGTCACAGAATTTATCTTGGCATTCTGTCTGGTAGATAAGATGATTTACATATATAGCCTGATTTTTTTTCTTAAGATTTATTTATTTTTATTAAAAAGGCAGATTTACAGAGAGGAGAGATAGAAGATCTTCCATCCACTGGTTCTCTCTGCAAGTGGCCTCACATACCATGAAAAGAGGCTGGGTGCAAGGAGGAGCACAGGAGCCTGACCTGGTGAAGTACATGGACCAAAACAAAAAAAAAATTTTTTTAAAGGTCTATTTATTTATTGGAAAGTCAGACATACAGAGAGGAGGAGAGACAGAGAGGAAGATCTTCCATCTGATGATTAACTCCCCAAGTGAGAGCAACGGCCGATGCTATGCACGGGTGCAGGGTCCCAAAGCTTTGGGCCATCCTCGACTGCCTTCCCAGGCCACAAGAAGGGAGCTGGATGGGAAGTGGAGCTGCTAGGACTAGAACTGGCTCCCATATGGGATCCTGGGGCGTTCCAAGGAGAGGACCTTAGCCGCTAGGCCACGCTGCCGCCCATCCCCACCCCCAAAATCTTAAGTGTCTTGGCTTAGCTGAAACATAAAAATCCCTAAGACATAAAATGGATCAAAGCAGCCCATAAAGACGCCACTGCCCTTGCCTTGGAACCGGGGCTTGCCTGGAACAAGACTCCAACATCAATCAGCTGGTGCAGTATTTTTAACCACCTACGAAATTCTTCATTTCCTGCCCGAAATGCTTCTGACGGTGAGCGATGGCTTTTCCCCTCACCCCTGCTCTGCAAGGGCTCCCTCAGGGAGGAGGCAGGGCGCCAAGCTGAGGCCCTTCCAGGCAGCTCCGGGACAAACCAGCCAGGGCTGGGACTTGATGGTGCTTTCCATGCAGAGTCTCAAAGGGCTCGGCCAGCCCCTTGGGTTCCCCTCTGGCCATCTGGAATGTGCCCTCCCACATCTCTGTCCTACCTAACCCACAGCTTCCTTCAGACTTTGCACTCTCTCTCTCTTTTTTTTAACTCAAGTTCTTAATGCATCAACAGCAAGTTACCAGACAGCTGGCATTTAATTATATGATGTCTGGCGTTTCACTATTTCACGCTGTCAGTTTGTCTCTCTAACAAGATGAAAGATGTCTCCAGGGTAATGATTAGTTCTTATTTTACGTATCTACCTTCTAGGCCTGGCTAGAAGCTGGGCTTATATGTGAACACCTTCCAAACGGCGAGGTCATGACCATCGAGGGTTCCTAGTTCTCACCTGTCCCACCCTGTGCCCATTTCACAGACAAGGAAACTGAGAGCCAAAGAGGAGGCTGGCTTCACTCCAGGTGACACAGTGAGAACATGGCCAAGTGGGGAGCACTCCCAGTTCTCCTGCCTGCCAATGTGGCACTGTTTTCCTTAAACACTGAGCTCAAAATCCCCCCAATAGGTGGTTCAGAGCCACGGCTCACCAGTCAACACAGACTGCTGACCTGTCTCTGGCTCCTGAGAAGCCATTTGCTGTGTAGGAAGCTAGACCAACCTGCAGGGAGACACTTCCAGCAGGCCCCACAGGAATTGGATATGGGTCTGTCCGTGCCAGGACCAAAGCTCATGTATGGACAGTCCCTGCAGCCTCCCAGCACAGTAGCAGTGTTGGCACTCACAGAACCTGCAATCCCAGGACAGGCACCGAGTGGGACAGGGAGTCTCCTCCCTCCAGAGAGGCACATGTTGCCAGATCCTCAAAGACTTCCTGGAACACACATGGGATGAAAAACCAATATGTGGGCGCAATGTCTTTTTTGCACCAAAATAAGCCTACTTTTAAAAATTTATGCTTTTTGAAAAGTCAGATTTACAGAAAGTGTCAGAGAGAGAGAGGGAGAGATCTTCTATCTGTTGGGTCACTCTCCAAGTCATGGCAATGACCAGAGCTGAGCCAATCCGAGGCCATGAACCAGGAGCTTCCTCTGGATCTCCCATGTGGGTGCAGGGTCCCAAAGTTTTGGACCATCCTTTATTGCTTTCCCAGATCATAAGCAGGGAGCTGGCTGAGAAGCAGAGCAGCCGGGATGCGAACCAGCATCCATATATGCTGGTGCTGGCAGGAGGAAGATTAGCATTTAGAGCCACTGTGCCAGCCCCTAAGTTTACCTTTTAATTTACTTTTCCACAAACTTTTAAAAGCACCCTCCTCTGTCGGAGCGTGGAGATGTTGCCATTGCAGTGCCTTATGCATCCCTGATAAAGCAAGAAACAAAGTTCACAATCACGGATACCCCACAATAGTGTCAACTGTAATTAAAAAAAGAAAGAAAGAAAACCCAGTATCCACACACGATAACGAAAAATGCCAATGGCAACAATTGCTTAGTGAAGCCCTCCTGGGACAAGCTGGCAGCAGCTTCCTCAACCCTGTTGAGTCTGTCTCGGGAATTCTCATCAGGCAACAGCAAAGACGCGGAAATGCAGGTACACCCAGCTAAGGGAATTTGCCCCACATCAACCACTAACAGGCCGCAGGACTGGGACTGGAATCCAGGTGGCCTTCTAAAAAGGCCTCCTGAGGCTCACTCTCCCAGCCCCATTTCAGGTATTTTGTCCCTTGCCCAGCATTTCACAGGAACTGGGGAAAACAGCCTATGGACCAGCAGCAGGGGACACGCCCAGATTTTCACAGCTTTTTCTTGATGCTGAACTCACAGAACACAGCATTTCCTCATCTTCCCTGAGCTGAAGGCTGTGATCATTGGGAAGGCCAAAGTCAAGTGGTTGGTTGGTTTTCTGGGATTGGAACCAATGCTGTACACGGTTGGTGGGTGATGGACAGTGTTCTTGAGCAAATGCCTCCATTGGTAAGCTGAGAGCAGCACTCAACAACTGCTCAACCGCCCGCTTCCTGCTCAGGAAGAGTGAACTGCACTTTCCCTCCACGGGCCTCAGCCCAGCAGCCAGGCGAGATGGTGTGTCTGCTACCCTCCAGCCCCATCACTCCATGACTCTATTAAGAGAACATACATTGGAAAACATTGTCTTCTGCAAACATGCAGGTGGGGCACAAGTCCAATGGAGAGATAACCAGGAGCTTCGATTCTGGCCTCATCCTCTTCGGCCCAGTAATCCCACTTCTGTGAGTTTATCTTAAAGGAAGACTCCAGAAGGAGAGAGCTGTGTCCACAAAGATGTTTGCTTTTGCTTCTGCTTGCACACTACTTGGAGGGACTGCTCAATTCAAGCCTGGGATACATTCTATTACCGATGATAATCTGAAGGACGCACAGAATGTCTACGACTGGTTTCCAAGGCACAGTTCACTCGCCATGAATGGCTCATGAAAGGAACTTGATTATCTCCTGCCTCCATGCTATTAAATAGAAAACATCTGAGTGCATCATTGCAGATTGCTAAAGTACTTACTGCAAAATTTTGGCCACAGTTACATGGGCAAGTAAGCCATATTTGAAAATGTCCATTTGGGGGCTGGTACCATCGTGCAACAAGCTAATCCTCTACCTGCAGGCACCAGTATCCCCTATAGGTGCCAGTTCATGTCCCACTGTTCCACGTCCCATCCAGCTCCCTGCTTATGACCTGGAAAAACAATAAAGGATGGCCCAGGTCCTTGGGACACTACACCCATGTGGGAGACCAGGAAGAAGTTCCTGGCTCCTGGTTTTGGATCGGATCAGCCCAGCTCTGACTGTTGCAGCCATCTGGGGAGTGGAAAAATCTTCCTCTGAATGTCCTCTGTAAATCTGCCTTCCAAATGAAAATAAGTAAATCTTTAAAAAATGTTTTTATTGTGGGGTCACCATGAATATATTTTGAAAGCCACAGGTCCCCAGGGTATGGTATGGTACAACAGGATCCCAACAGTGTAAATTAATTACTATCATGTGTGAGCCAAGCCTCCAGGCGGAAAGGAAGACAGGTGCTGCCTGTTTATTTACAAATCTCATCTGCTGTTCTTACAATAAAAGCAAGGTAAGTGAGAATACAAGACGAAGGAGGAATGACGCCAGAAGGCCATGACCGGACTCCAACGGACCAAGGGGCTTTGCGGAGATTTCCTGAAGGAGCGGTCTGTCCCGGGTTGAGTCCTGAAGGATCGTCAGGGTTTGAATGGTGGACGGGGAAGGTTGGCGTGGAATTGAGTAGGAAGAAGGGCTCACAAGCAGACGAGGTTAAAATCCTCCGCGTCGTACAGCAGCCTCGAACTGGGCAAGGAATGGGCAGCCCTATCCCTGGGCGAGCCATTCGTTGCTCCTTTCTGGATAGATGGATCGGCAATCCCAAATCAAAGCCGCCCCTCACAAACATGGCCGCACCTGTGTGTGTGGGTGGGGGGGGAACCACTCAACAAGATGGCGACGACGCGGCCCCACCTCCCGCTGCCTCGGCGACCAATGAGGGAGAAGCACGAAGCTGGCGCGTGCGTGGTACGCCTTGGTGGGCGTCTCCAGTAAATGACCGGGGGATCCCGGCAAGTAACATGACGAAAAAGAAGCGGGAGAATGTGGGCGTCGCGCTGGAGGTGAGGGGAGACGGGGGCGGTGGGACCCGCGGGCGGGCGGGCTGACGGGGCGGCTATGGCTGCAGGGCGAAGTGAGGGCGGAGCGGGCTTGGGGAGAGGGAGGCTTTGCGGGGAAGGAGAGGCCGGATGCGGTTGCGGGTGGTGAGGGCGGGCGACGGGAGCAGCCATGGGGGGGCGAGGACCCGGCACGGGGAGCCCCAAAGAGGACAGACAGGAGTGCGGGGACCCGGCTCGGGGGACCCCAAAGAAGGAAGCCATGGGGGGCGAGGACCCGGCACGGGGGACCCCAAAGAAGGAAGCCATGGGAGGCGAGGACCAGCACGGGGGACCCCAGAGAAGGCAGACAGGAGTGCAGGGATTCGCCAATGAAGAGGACCCGAGGTGGGGGTGCCGGGCAAAGTGTGAGCGACCAACTGCGCCTGGTGCGAAAATGGAATGAAAAGTTTTGGTACCAAAAAAAGTTTTTTTTAAATCCGCACGTAGCGTTTTCATCATGCGTGCTTCGCAGGAACATTTGGATGAAGCTTAGTCTAGGATTTGTAATGGGCGCATCCCATGAGATGGGACGGCTTCCCTCTTGCCACTTGAAATTAACCTTTGGGAACCTTGGGGGAATCCGGAAAGAACTTTATTCTGGAGTTGGTGATGTTGCCAAAGACTTAAACGAACTTCATGTGGGAGGGAAAAGAACGGGCCCGTAGACCCAGCACCTGCCGTGTGCCCGACACCTGTCTCGTGGGGCTTGCACCTGTTTCTCAGCCCCTCCCCTCACCGCAGGCTGTGAGGAAAGGAGGGCTCAGGCCGAAGGAGCAGGCCAGGGGCTGGAGTGCCCAGCTCGCACCAGGTGGGCTTCCTGCAGGTGCATCTCCCTCAGTCGTCCCCTCCCGCGGGGGTGGGGCAATGGCATGATTGGACCTGGCTGCCGCCGTATTTAGATTCTCAGACGTGAAGCCGGTGTGGAGTCACGGGCAGAGCCTGTTGAACATGGGGAAATGCGCTCTTGGGCCAGTCCCGCTGCTGGTCCCGTCAGGCCTGGTGTGCAATTCCACCGGGAGAGCTGCCCCTTCAGCAAGCCGCGCTCGCCTGTGCTGGGCGTTCAGTAGCATTCTTGGTGAAGGGCCAGACTGGTGGTAGGAAAAGAGTTGATAGGAACAAAACCTTCTCCTTCCCTCTCTCCCTCTCTCTCCATGGCAAATTTACAGAGAAGGAGAGAAAGAGATCTTCCATCTGCTGGTTTACTCCCCAAGTAAACCACAACAGCCAGAACTGAGCTGATCCAATGCCAAGAGCTTCTTCTGGGTCTCCCACACGGGTGCAGGATCCCAAGGCCTTGGACCATCCTCCACTGCTTTCCCAGGCCACAAACAGGGAGCTGATGGAAAATGGAGCAGCCAGGACATGAACTTGCACCTGTATAGGATGCTGGCACCACAGGGCAGGGGATTAGCTTGTTGAGCCATGATGCTGTAACTCTACCCTCCCCCCCCTTTTTTTTTTATATTTTATTTTATTTTTTATTAATAAATTTTATTTTGACATTCTTTACATAGTTAATTAGGGTAAGAAGGTTCAAGGGCTACAGGAAAGTGGATAATACTAGTATGTTTTCCATATTGTTACCTTCATATTTAAAGGGGGGTATTTAAGGGAGAAGCCCACCCAATTTCCCACCCTCCCCAGGTCCCGGATGTAGGGCATGCTCTGAGGTTCTTGCTCAAGTGGTTTTGATATTGCCACAGTTATGAATCACTGTCAATCTTGCCACTCCAAGCACTATGAGATCTTTGAAAAATCCACTGATTGACATAGTCCATCATAGCTGAGATGGTTGGTTGACCTGTTCTGTCTTCTCTCTTTTCTTCGTTAGGGTTCTGAGTCCAGCATTTAGATTAGGAAGATCTCCAAAGAAACTTCTTGTATGTGCTAACAAGTACAGGGCCTGGCACCGTCCATCGCTCCAATCAGCTGGTGGTTGCAATTGCTGGGTTGGTTCTGTTTTCACTCCCGACTTCCACTGGAACCAATGGGTGTTGCAGTCCAGCCTGGTTCTGCCCAGCACATACTTGGCCCTCACATAAACCAGCGGGAGCTGCAGCCTAGTTGGAGCGACCCACAATAACCCCCACCAGGACCACCCCCTACCCTGGTTTGCCAGTAAGTGTAGCAGTAATCCAGTCTGTCCCACACCCCATTCCACCCCAGCAGCTGTCTTAGTTTTATGTCCTCCTGTGGGAGTGGTAACCCAAGAGGGATGAGCCCACTATTTCCCTCCCAGGCCTCTCCCACTCCCAGATTCCAGTTGATGCTGCGTCTAAGCCCAAACAACCCTCGCCCACTTTAATTTTGCTTGCACCAGTAGGAATAATCCGCCCAACCCGGCTTTTCCCTGATCTAGTCCACATGAGGCGCACAGGTGTGGTAGCTCTGCCTAGTCTGGTCTGCCCCCATCCCAGCCCATGCTCTCCTGCGGAAGTAGCTGTCCTGCAAAGGAACCCTCCCTTATTCCCCTGCCAGCTCTGCCCACTTCCTCTCTTGTTCTCAGGCTGGTTGGGCGCTGCAGTCCCTTCCGGTACAGGCAACCTCACCTCGGCATTCCATAATGTGCACTAGTCTTTGTTGCGACCGAACCTGGGTCGACCCACACTGGTGCCTGGATTTGCCACTGGATGATGTGGACAGATTCAGCCTGGTCTTGCCCCCATGTCTGCCAATTGTATGCCAGTGGGTAGTTTTCCATAGCCTTTTCTGGGCTGTTTCCTATCATGTTTCTTGCGCTGACCTGCCGGGTCTGTGTCCTGCCAGAGGAGTTGCCCAGGCTCCTCCATCAGAACCTCTCCCAGTGCCAGGTTTCACGCTTACCAGTGGGTCCATGAGCCAACCCTACTCAGTCCACCTCCTGTCTTAGCAGGAACTGTGGCTTTTCCTGACTGGCGTTCCACCCAATCTGGTTCTTGCTGTTGGATGTTCCAGCCCAGCCATGGTTTGTCCATACCCACGTATGGCTCACACATGGCTCAGTAGGGGTTTGAGACCCTGCCTAGTCCATCCCACATCTGCCCTGGTCCTCCAGAACACCAGGGGGAGTCGGGGTCCGGCCCGGTTCGGTGCATCCAATCCCAGTCCACACTTGTGCCAAGGGAGACTACAACTGTTTCCAGATCAGAACGCAGCCCCCGTTCCAGGCCAAGCGCCTCTTGGTGGGAACCTCAACCCAGCTAGGGTTGTCCCCTTTGCTCCCCAACCGGGTCTGTTCCCAGCCATAGATCACATGCCTACCAATGGATGCTCTGACTCAGCTTGGCACAGCTCCTCCCCTGTCCTGAACTCTGCCTTAGACACCGTGGCTTAGCGTCCCAGGCTCCCACAGACCAGCAGGTACAAGAGCCTAGCTCGGCATGACCTCTAATCCCTCCTGGTTTCTAGTTTTACTTGTGGGCTAAGGTTTGCTCAGTCGTGCCTAATCTACTCTGTTCCATTACCACTTGACACATTGACCAGCTGTTGGAGCTACTTTTGCAGGACAAGCCCCAAGCCATAGCTTCTGCATGACTGGTATTTGGTGCTCAGCATTATTAGTGATTACAAGTTTTACAAAGGAAGAGTTACTGCCTGTTTCAGGTCCAAGAAGCACAATGGGTTCAACCTGGAGCTAATTAAGCAGCAACTCAAAGAACCAAATCCCCAGAGCTCCCCGGCCAGGCGGCCAGCAGGCAGAGCCTGGGGCCAAATGGTGCACTGGCCACCCAGGGACAGCTTACCACATGCACGTGGTGGTTGGAGTTAGGATCCGAGCAAGACACCCCATCCTGAGGCCCACCAGCAGCTGGGAGGCTGCTGGAGGTTTAAACCCCCAGGCCCAAGGTCGCGCCCCTCCCAAATCCCATTCACCACCCCATGAAGGCGTCGGGTGGGTCCCGGACCTGCCCAGTCCCGGAGGCCTCCCCCCCTTGGTCTACTCACCCCGAAGGAAGCGGCCCCCGAAACCCAGCAGGCCCAGGGTTAGAACGGCTCACCATGTGCACATGGCGGCCATCCGGGATCCAGGCATGAGACGCCATGTCCTGAGACCCACCAGCTGCCAGGAGGCTGCTGGAGGTTTAAATAACCCAGGCCCAAGGTCGTGCCCCTCCCAAATCCCATTCACCGCCCCATGAAGGCGGCGGGTTCCCCCCCCTTTTTAAAGAGAGAACAGGGCCCGGTACAGTAGCCTAGTGGCTGATGTCCTCGCCTTGCACGCACCAGCATCCCAAATGGGTGCCAGTTCATTTCCCAGTTGCTCCGCTTCCCATCCAGCTCCCTGCTTGTGGCCTGGGAAAGCAGTTGAGGACAGCCCAAAGCCTTGGGACCCTGCACATGAGGGAGACGCAGAAGAAGCTCCTGGCTTCAGATCGGCTTAGCTCCTGCCATTGTGGCTGCTCGGGGAGTGAACCAGTGGACAGAGGATCTCTCTGTATCCTTCTCCCTTCTCTCTGTATATCTGGCTTTCCAATAAAAGTAAATAAATCTTAAATTTTTTTTAATGGAAAGAACGGATGGAGACTGGGGAAGCAAGGATGGCGAGGTGGGAGGAGCGCCTGCCCTTCAGAGCCGCTCTCGCAGGGAAGTGCCGTGCCTTCCGGGAGGTTAGCTCTTTGGCCTGATGTGCATCGCCACGGAGCCCGTATTTGCAGAGGTGCCTGGTGGCCGCAGCGTGTCTGTAACCCGTGAATGAATACTTGGCATGTGTTTGCAGGCCCTGCAGACACCTTCAAAGCAGCAGGAGACATGTGAGTGGCCTGAGGTTCCCATTCCCAGGCCCAGTTGTGGGACCAGTGGGTTCTTGTGCCGTTCCAGTCAGCACCTGTTTTCTGGACAGCTGTGTGCTGCTGGTGGGTGAATTCCCTGTCTGAGGTGATCCGAAGCGCAGTGTGGAAATGCTGAGCAGTGTGGCTAAGCGTTCGAAGGCTGGGCTGGATCCTATAGAGAAAGTCGGCTGGTTCCCATGTGAGCTGGTTCATGCA